TCACCACATACAGCCACCACATACAGCCACCACATAACAGCCACCACATACAACCACCACATACAGTCACCACATACAGCCACCACATACAGCCACCACATACAGCCACCACATACAGCCACCACATACAGTCACCACATACAGCCACCACATACAACCACCACATACAGTCACCACATACAGCCACCACATACAGCCACCACATAACAGCCACCACATACAACCACCACATACAGTCACCACATACAGCCACCACATACAGCCACCACATACAGCCACCACATACAGCCACCACATAACAGCCACCACATAACAGCCACCACATAACAGCCACCACATAACAGCCACCACATAACAGCCACCACATACAGCACCACATACAGTCACCACATACAGCCACCACATACAGTCACCACATAACAGCCACCACATACAGCCACCACATACAGCCACCACATAACAGCCACCACATAACAGTCACCACATACAGCCACCACATACAGTCACCACATAACAGCCACCACATAACAGTCACCACATACAGCCACCACATAACAGCCACCACATAACAGTCACCACATACAGCCACCACATACAGTCACCACATAACAGCCACCACATAACAGTCACCACATACAGCCACCACATACAGTCACCACATAACAGCCACCACATACAGTCACCACATACAGCCACCACATAACAGCCACCACATAACAGTCACCACATACAGCCACCACATACAGTCACCACATACAACCACCACATAACAGCCACCACATAACAGCCATCACATAACAGCCACCACATACAGCACCACATACAGCCACCACATAACAGCCACCACATACAGCTACCACATAACAGCCACCACATAACAGCCACCACATAACAGCCACCACATAACAGCCACCACATACAGCCACCACATACAGCCACCACATAACAGCCACCACATACAGCCACCACATAACAGCCACCACATAACAGCCACCACATAACAGCCACCACATAACAGCCACCACATAAATCACCACATAACAGCCACCACATAACAGCCACCACATAACAGCCACCACATAACAGCCACCACATAACAGCCACCACATACAGCCACCACATAACAGCCACCACATAACAGCCACTACATAACAGCCACCACATACAGCACCACATACAGCCACCACATACAGCTACCACATAACAGCTACCACATAACAGCCACCACATAACAGCCACCACATAACAGCCACCACATAACAACCACCACATAACAGCCACCACATAACAGCCACCACATAACAGCCACCACATAACAGCCACCACATAACAGCCACCACATAACAGCCACCACATAACAGCCACCACATAACAGCCACCACATAACAGTCACCACATAACAGCCACCACATAACAGCCACCACATACAGCCACCACATACAGCACCACATACAGCCACCACATAACAGCCACCACATAACAGCCACCACATAACAGCCACCACATACAGCCACCACATACAGCACCCATACAGCCACCACATAACAGCCACCACATACAGCTACCAGATAACAGCCACCACATAACAGCCACCACATAACAGCCACCACATAACAGCCACCACATAACAGCCACCACATAACAGCCACCACATACAGCCACCACATAACAGCCACCACATAACAGCCACCACATAACAGCCACCACATAATAGCCACCACATAACAGTCACCACATAACAGCCACCACATAACAGCCACCACATACAGCCACCACATACAGCCACCACATAACAGCCACCACATACAGCTACCACATACAGCCACCACATAACAGCCACCACATACAGCCACCATATAACAGCCACCACATACAGCCACCACATAACAGCCACCACATACAGCCACCACATACAGCCACCACATAACAGCCACCACATAACAGTCACCACATAACAGCCACCACATAACAGCCACCACATAATAGCCACCACATAATAGCCACCACATAATAGCCACCACATAACAGTCACAACATAACAGCCACCACATAACAGCCACCACATAACAGCCACCACATAACAGTCACCACATAACAGTCACCACATACAGCTACCACATACAGCTACCACATACAGCTACCACATACAGCCACCACATACAGCTACCACATACAGCTACCACATACAGCTACCACATACAGCCACCACATACAGCCACCACATAATAGCCACCACATAATAGCCACCACATAACAGCCACCACATAACAGTCACCACATAACAGCCACCACATAACAGTCACCACATAACAGCCACCACATACAGCCACCACATAACAGCCAACACATAACAGCCACCACATACAGCCACCACATACAGCCACCACATACAGCACCACATACAGCCACCACATACAGCTACCACATACAGTCACCACATACAGCACCACATACAGCACCACATAACAGCCACCACATACAGCCACCACATAACAGCCACCACATACAGCCACCACATAACAGCCACCACATACAGCCACCACATACAGCCACCACATACAGCCACCACATAACAGCCACCACATACAGCCACCACATACAGCACCACATACAGCCACCACATACAGCCACCACATACAACCACCACATACAGCCACCACATACAGCCACCACATAACAGCCACCACATACAGATACCACATACAGCCACCACATAACAGCCACCACATACAACCACCACATACAGCCACCACATACAGCCACCACATACAGCCACCACATACAGCCACCACATAACAGCCACCACATACAGCCACCACATACAGCTACCACATACAGCTACCACATACAGCCACCACATACAGCTACCACATACAGCTACCACATACAACCACCACATACAGCCACCACATACAGCCACCACATACAGCCACCACATACAGCCACCACATAACAGCCACCACATAACAGCCACCACATACAACCGACCACATACAGCTACCACATACAGCCACCACATACAGCCACCACATAACAGCCACCACATAACAGCCACCATACAACAGCCACCACATAATAGCCACCACGTAACAGCCCCCGCATAACAGTCACCACATAACAGCCACCATATAACAGTCACCACATAAGTCACCACATAAGTCACCACATACAGTGACCACACCATGAAGATGGTGATAAAGCCAAGGTCACTTAATATGGGAGTGTGATGCCTTGTTTGTCAATCATGGTGCGTCTTCACGCTCCCAGGTGCCTCCACCACTCTCCCAGGTACCTCCCCTCTGTCCCAGGTACCTCCCCTCTGTCCCAGGTACCTCCCCTCTCTCCCAGGTACCTCCCCTCTCTCCCAGGTACCTCCCCTCTCTCCCAGGTACCTCCCTCCATTCCGAGTACCTCCCCCTCTCCCAGGTACCTCCCCTCTCTCCCAGGTACCTCCCCTCTCTCCCAGGTACCTCCCATCTCTCCCAGGTACCTCCCCACTTTCCCAGGTACCTCTCCTCTCTCCCAGGTACCTCCCCTCTCTCCCAGGTACCTCCCCTCTCTCCCAGGTACCTCCCCTCTCTCCCAGGTACCTCCCCTCTCTCCCAGGTACCTCCCCACTCTCCCAGGTACCTCCCCACTCTCCCAGGTACCTCCCCACTCTCCCATGTACCTCCCGTCTCTCCCAGGTACCTCCCCTCTCTCCCAGGTACCTCCCCTCTCTCCCAGGTACCTCCCCCATCTCCCAGGCACCTTCCCTCTTTCCCAGGTACCTCCCCACTCACCCAGGTACCTCCCCCAGGTACCTCCCCCCTCTCCCAGGTACCTCCCCCCTCTCCCAGGTACCTCCCCCATCTCCCAGGCACCTCCCCACTCCCCCAGGTACCTCCCCCATCTCCCAGGTACCTCCCACACTAATCTATCATCTTGAGCACCAGACAACCATTTAATCATATGTTATCTCCAGTGGCCGTCTGATAACATTTCCTCCGCCGGTACATTACATTCTCTTAGCCAATATCTTCATTCGCCGCGCCGTAAAAAATGCAACACTATTTTCCTTGCCTGAAGCGTATAGAGCCTCGTAAGCCAGAGCTTGGGCTGTCAGCAGCACTTAACCCAGAAGAGATAACGCCAGTGCCCACGGGAGGTAGTAAAGCTTTTTTTTTTTTTGAGATATATACAAGAGTTGTTACATTCTTGTACAGCCACTAGTACGCGTAGCGTTTCGGGCAAGTCCTTAATCGTATGGTCCCTGGAATACGATCCCCTGCCGCGAAGAATCGTTTTTTCATCCAAGTACACATTTTACTGTTGCGTTAAACAGAGGCTACAGTTAAGGAATTGCGCCCAGTAAATCCTCCCCGGCCAGGATACGAACCCATGACATAGCGCTCGCGGAACGCCAGGCGAGTGTCTTACCACTACACCACGGAGATTGTAACCACTACACCACGGAGACTGTGAAGCTTGGGCTGAAAAGCATAGCCTGGTGGCACTAACATCACACACAATGCCAGTCTTTGAGCGAGAGACCAGGAGGGAGGGAGGGAATTATCAGAGGGAAAGCGCCAAGGCATATCGACTATATAGCACTGGGAAGGGGTCAGGATAAGGATTTGGGATGGGACGGGGGAAAAGGAATGGTGCCCGCTTGCCATGAGAGACCAGGAGTGTGAGCTCCAGGGGCCAAATTCACGAAAGCACTTACGAAAGTGTACATCTTTCCTCAATCTTTGACGGCTTTGGGAAGTTTTCATGCTTGTAAACTGTTTAATAAATGTAACCAAAGCCGTCAAAGATTGAGGAAAGATGGACACGTTCGTAAGTGCTTGCATAACTGCTTCGTGAATCTGGCCCCAGGTTGTCGTGGACATGTTGGCCTGGTGGCCGCTCCAAGCAACACCTTCCAGGAGTAGAATTCCTACAGAAAAATCTAGGTAAAATCCGTCCAGAGCGATACATTGAAAACGTCACTATTACGGTAATTTTAATTATTATTAATACAGGCATTTTGGGCGAGATGACGATAGGCTGTGGACAAGACGTTCAAGGTTATACAAACAGCCGCCCGGGCAGGGACCCGGCAGTGTGCTTCTGGCCGCCAGGGGGATTACACGCACGCTCTAGCTCCAAGCACATGGTAAATTGAACAGTAGCAGCCTCTAATATATATATATATATATATATATATATATATATATATATATATGTCGTACCTAGTAGCCAGAACTCACTTCTCAGCCTACTATTCAAGGCCCGATTTGCCTAATAAGCCAAGTTTTCCTGAATTAATATATTTACTATAATTTTTGTTCTTATGAAATGATAAAGCAACCCTTTTCTCTATGTATGAGGTCAATTTTTTGTTATTGGAGTTAAAATTAACGTAGATATATGACCGAACCTAACCAACCCTACCTAACCTAACCTAACCTATATTTATAGGTTAGGTTAGGTTAGGTAGCCGAAAACGTTAGGTTAGGTTAGGTAGCCGAAAACGTTAGGTTAGGTTAGGTTAGGTAGCCGAAAACGTTAGGTTAGGTTAGGTTAGGTAGCCGAAAACGTTAGGTTAGGTTAGGTTAGGTAGCCGAAAACGTTAGGTTAGGTTAGGTTAGGTAGTCGAAAAAACATTAATTCATGAAAACTAGGCTTATTAGGCAAATCAGGCCTTGCATAGTAGGCTGAGAAGTGAGTTCTGGCTACTAGGGACTATATATATATATATATATATATATATATATATATATATATATATATATATATATATATATATATATATATATATATATATATGTCGTACCTAGTAGCCAGAACGCACTTCTCAGCCTACTATGCATGGCCAGATTTGCCTAATAAGCCAAGTTTTCCTGAATTAATATATTTTCTCTATTTTTTTTCTTTTGAAATGATAAAGCTATCCATTTCATTATGTATGAGGTCAATTTTTTTTTATTGGAGTTAAAATTAACGTAGATATATGACCGAACCTAACCAACCCTACCTAACCTAACCTAACCTATCTTTATAGGTTAGGTTCGGTTAAGTAGCCGAAAAAGTTAGGTTAGGTTAGGTTTGGTAGGTTAGGTAGTCGAAAAACAACTAATTCATGAAAACTTGGCTTATTAGGCAAATCGGGCCTTGCATAGTAGGCTGAGAAGTGCGTTCTGGCTACTAGGTACGACATATATATATATATATATATATATATATATATATATATATATATATATATATATGTCGTACCTAGTAGCCAGAACGCACTTCTCAGCCTACTATGCAAGGCCCGATTTGCCTAATAAGCCAAGTTTTCCTGAATTAATACATTTTCTCTAATTTTTTTCTTATGAAATGATAAAGCTTCCCATTTCATTATGTTTGAGGTGAATTTTTTTTTATTGGAGTTAAAATTAACGTAGGTATATGACCGAACCTAACCAACCCTACCTAACCTAACCTAACCTATGTTTATAGGTTAGGTTAGGTTAGGTAGCCGAAAAAGTTAGGTTAGGTTAGGTTAGGTAGGTTAGGTAGTCGAAAAACAATTAATTCATGAAAACTTGGCCTATTAGGCAAATCGGGACTTGCATTGTAGGCTGAGAAGTGCGTTCTGGCTACTAGGTACGACATATATATATATATATATATATGTATATGTATGTATGTATATATATGTATATGTATGTATGTATATGTCGTACCTAATAGCCAGAACGCACTTCTCAGCCTACTATGCAAGGCCCGATTTGCCTAATAAGCCAAGTTTTCCTGAATTAATATATTTTCTCTAATTTTTTTCTTATGAAATGATAAAGCTACCCATTTCATTATGTATGAGGTCAATTTTTTTTTATTGGAGTTAAAATTAACGTAGATATGTGACCGAACCTAACCAACCCTACCTAACCTAACCTAACCTATCTTTATAGGTTAAGTTAGGTTAGGTAGCCGAAAAAGTTAGGTTAGGTTAGGTTAGGTAGGTTAGGTAGTCCAAAAACAATTAATTCATGAAAACTTGGCTTATTAGGCAAATCGGGCCTTGCATAGTAGGCTGAGAAGTGCGTTCTGGCTATTAGGTACGACATATATATATATATATATATATATATATATATATATATATATATATATATATATATATATATATATATATATATATATATATATATATATATATATATATATATATATATATATATATATGTCGTACCTAGTAGCCAGAACTCACTTTTTGGCCTACTATTCAAGGCCCGATTTGCCTAATAATCCAAGTTTTCCTGAATTAATATATTTTTTCTAATTTTTTTCTTATGAAATGATAAAGCTACCCATTTCATTATGTATGAGGTCAATTTTTTTTTATTGTAATTAAAATTAACGTAGATATATGACCGAACCTAACCAACCCTACCTAACCTAACCTAACCTATCTTCATAGGTTAGGTTGGGTTAGGTTGCCGAAAAAGGTAGGTTAGGTTAGGTTAGGTAGGTTAGGTAGTCGAAAAAACATTAATTCAGGAAAACTTGGCTTATTAGGCAAATCGGGCCTTGCATAGTAGGCTGAGAAGTGCGTTCTGGCTATTAGGTACGACATATATATATATATATAATATATATATATATATATATATATATATATATATATATATATATATATATATATATATGTCGTACCTAATAGCCAGAACGCACTTATCGGCCTACTATGCAAGGCCCGATTTGCGTAATAAGCCAAGTTTTCCTGAATTAATATATTTTCTCTAATTTTTTTCTTATGAAATGATAAATCAAACCATTTCATTATGTATGAGGTCAATTTTTTTTATTGGAGTTTAAATTAACGTAGATATATGACCAAACCTAACCAACCCTACCTAACCTAACCTAACCTATCTTTATAGGTTAGGTTAGGTTAGGTAGCCGAAAAAGTTAGGTTAGGTTAGGTTAGGTAGGTTAGGTAGTCGAAAACCAATTAATTCATGAAAACTTGGCTTATTAGGCAAATCGGGCCTTGCATAGTAGGCTGAGAAGTGAGTTCTGGCTACTAGGTACGACATATATATATATATATATATTTGTCGTACCTAGTAGCCAGAACGCACTTCTCAGCCTACTATGCAAGGCCTGATTTGCCTAATAAGCCTAGTTTTCCAGAATTTCAATATTTTCTCATTTTTTTTCTTATGAAATGATAAAGCTATTAATTTCATTATGTATGAGCTATTTTTTTTTTAATTTTAGTTAAAACTAACGTAGATATATGACCGAACCTAACCAACTCTTCCCAACCTAACTTAAACTAACATAACTAAATCAACAATTTATGTTCTTAATATAATATAATAATAATATTTAAAATAAACCAATAGGAAACAATTTTTTGACAATTTTGTGATTATCTTGAGATGTGTACGATAAGACCAAATAATAATAGTTAGATAATAATACAAGTTGCATAAAGTTACCTCTATGCCCCTGTAGCCTGGACATGCTTACCAACTCGTCATCTCGCCTAATACGTCGTGTATTTTCACGGAAATATCCACAACGTTAAAATTGCGACGTTTTAGTCGAAATATTTTTATGCGTTGTCCTCGATAAGTGCGGTGGGTTGCTTGGGTTCATACGGTTCGGGTTGAACAAAACAGTTGTATTCTTTACGGAGTGGGAGAGTGATAGAGGCTGAAAGTTTAAACATTTCTGCCGTCTATACTAAGCCACTTATGCTGTTATGTTGTGGGTGCTCTCTGGCGCAGTGGGCTGCGCTAACGGTTTACAACCGAGAGGTTCAACGTTTCCTCTCCTGTTCTGTGTTCACCTATCCCAGCTCCTTGTCCTCAGACCGCTGTTCCTTGTCCTGATATCCCAGCACCTTGTACTGATATCCCAGCTCCCTGTCCTGATATCCCAGCTCTTGTCCTGATATCCCAGCTCTTGTCCTGATATCCCAGCCCAGATCATGATATCTCATCATGATACCAGACTCATCATGATACCAGACTCATCATGATACCAGACTCATCGTGATACCAGACTCATCATGCTACCAAACTCATCATGATACCATACTCATCATGATACCATACTCATCATGATACCATACTCATCATGATACCATACTCATCATGCTACCAAACTCATCATGATACCAAACTCATCATGATACCAGACTCACCATGATACCAAACTCATCATGATACCAGACTCATCATGATACCAGACTCATCATGATACCATACTCATCATGCTACCAAACTCATCATGATACCAGACTCACCATGATACCAGACTCATCATGATACCAGACTCATCATGATACCAGACTCATCATGATACCAGACTCATCATGCTACCAAAGTCATCATGCTACCATACTCATCATGATACCATACTCATCATGCTACCAAACTCATCATGATACCAAACTCATCATGATACCAGACTCACCATGATACCAAACTCATCATGATACCAGACTCATCATGATACCAGACTCACCATGATACCAGACTCATCATGATACCAGACTCATCATGATACCAGACTCATCATGATACCAGACTCATCATGCTACCAAATTCATCATGATACCATACTCATCATGATACCATACTCATCATGATAGCATACTCATCATGCTACCAAACTCATCATGATACCAAACTCATCATGATACCAGACTCACCATGATACCAAACTCATCATGATACCAGACTCATCATGATACCAGACTCACCATGATACCAAACTCATCATGATACCAGACTCACCATGATACCATACTCATCATGATACCAAACTCATCATGATACCAGACTCATCATGATACCAGACTCACCATGATACCAAACTCATCATGATACCAGACTCACCATGATACCATACTCATCATGATACCAAACTCATCATGATACCAGACTCATCATGATACCAGACTCATCATGATACCAGACTCACCATGATACCAAACTCATCATGATACCAGACTCACCATGATACCATACTCATCATGATACCAAACTCATCATGATACCAGACTCATCATGATACCAGACTCATCATGATACCAGACTCATCATGATACCAGATTCATCATGATACCAGACTCATCATGATACTAGACTCACCATGATACCAGACTCATCATGATACCAGACTCATCATGATACCAGATTCATCATGATACCAGACTCATCATGATACCAGACTCATCATGATACCAGACTCATCATGATACCAGACTCATCATGATACCAGGCTCAGCATGATACCAGACTCAGCATGATACCAGACTCATCATGATACCAGACTCACCATGATACCAAACTCATCATGATACCAGACTCAGCATGATACCAGACTCACCATGATACCAGACTCACCATGATACCAAACTCATCATGATACCAGACTCACCATGATACCAGACTCATCATGATACCAGACTCACCATGATACCAGACTCACCATGATACCAAACTCATCATGATACCAGACTCACCATGATACCAGACTCATCATGATACCAGGATTATCATTAATCTTTAAATCACGATTACTTTAGTGCCGCCAGTGGTGGAGGGCGACGACCACGACCTGAAGATGTTGTTGTTGTTGTTGGGAGTGTTGGTGGTGCTCTGTGCCCTCTACCTGGCCTCCTGCAAGCCCCGGGGCTTCCCCCCAGGTGAGTACCTCTGGTGCCCCCCAGGTGAGTACCTCTGGTTCCCCCCCCCAGGTGAGTACCTCTGGTGCCCCCCAGGTGAGTACCTCTGGTGCCCCCCAGGTGAGTACCTCTGGTCCCCCCAGGTGAGTACCTCTGGTTCCCCCCCAGGTGAGTACCTCTGGTTACCACCCCAGGTGAGTACCTCTGCCCCCCCCCCCCAGGTGAGTACCTCTGGTTCTCCCCCAGGTGAGTACCTCTGGTTACCACCCCAGGTGAGTACCTCTGGTGCCCCCCAGGTGAGTACCTCTGGTTCCCCCCAGGTGAGTACCTCTGGTTACCACCCCAGGTGAGTACCTCTGGTCCCCCCCAGGTGAGTACCTCTGGTTCCCCACAGGTGAGTACCTCTGGTTACCCCCTTCCAGGTGAGTACCTCTGGTTCCCTCCCAGGTGAGTACCTCTGCCCCCCCCAGGTGAGTACCTCTGGTTCTCCCCCAGGTGAGTACCTCTGGTACCCCCCCCCCAGGTGAGTACCTCTGGTTCCCCCCCAGGTGAGTACCTCTGGTCCCCCCCAGGTGAGTACCTCTGGTTCCCCCCAGGTGAGTACCTCTGGTTCCCCCCAGGTGAGTACCTCTGGTTCCCCCCAGGTGAGTACCTCTGGTTCCCCCAGGTGAGTATGTAACAGTAGAACTGTAATATAGAAAGTTCATAGATATAAACATTGGGAGTTGGTAGTGAGGTGGTAGTTGACGTGACCTGACTGGTAGCCTGAGACATCCCTAAGGAATTAGAGCGTAGAAAACGGTGGCGCCAACTGCCTCCGGTGATGTGTCTTTGAACTAGGAGTATTATGAATGTATTTCAGAATTAGGTGGAATTATCAGTCATTGTTAAGTACTTATGTTAAAAAATTAATGTCTATTAAGAATAAGGAATAGGTCTTGGATGGTATCAAAGAGATGCTTGACGTCAATAAGATTTGAATATATGTAAGACATGTGTCGCTCACTGGAAAATAGATACCTACCAACTTATTTGTTAAACTATGTAAATTAGTGTAATACAAGTGCTACTGAATATTGTAATTAGCCTGGCTCGAGTCTCTAGATAATTCTCATTTGTTTTGGAAGTAGAAGTCACCTTCAGTGACAAATACTGGATTTTAGTTAATAATCATTTTCAAAGATTAATTTGACAACTAGCTAGGTCAACCACCTACGAGGTCAGTGTGGAGAGGGAGACTCAGTGTAAGCTAAGCATCAACTGGGGATGAGTTACAATAACGTGGCTAAAGTATGTTGACCAGACCACACACTAGAAGGTGAAGGGACGACGACGTTTCGGTCCGTCCTGGACCATTCTCAAGTCGATTGTGACTCCCTCCCCACAATCAACTTGAGAATGATCCAGGACGGACAGAAACGTCGTCGTCTCTTCACCTTCTAGTATGTGGTCTGGTCAACATCAACTGGGGGAACAAGATCTCTCCATGGAACTGGCAGACCATCGTGGCTAGGCTGTGATATTATAAGGTCTCTGGGTCGGAGTTAGTATACTGTAGAAGACCACATTTATTGTTATAAGATTTACAATTGCCTCAGTTAAGTAGTGCTTTTGTCAGGGTATTTACTAAATATTATTTTGATACATAATTTTGGTTTAATAAATAGTTATATAATTTATAGCGTTTAGTGGAATTTTCCCCCCACGTTTATTTCACATTACTGTTGAGCGCAAGCCTCATGTTTACACCCAGTTTCCTCATGCAAGTCAACAGGCATTTACTTAATTAAAAAGATAATCCCTTTTCATTTAATTTCCACATTAACGTAAGCTTATCCCTCCTTTCCATATAATTGGGGGATACAGTTTCATGATACGCTTAATTGATAGTATACTGCTTTCCGTCAATTGAGGGATTTACTCAGAATATAGCAGGTGGTGGCGGCGAAGTTCAGAGTTTGCAGTTTAACATAGAAAGGAACAGTGTCTCTGAGTTAGTGATACCTAAATGGTCAAATGTTTAGATCTCTAGGAATTGTACTGAAGATTACTTAGCAGAACTCTGGTTTCTGTATATATTTCTATTTAACCAGCAGTGAGGTTAAAGGCTGGCCCCTGCTACAGGTACCTCTGGTTTCCCCCTAGGAGAGAACTTATTGTTCTCTCCCTCCCCAGGTCCCTCAAACACTTGGGGTGGACGGTAGAGCGACGGTCTCACTTCATGCAGGTCAGCGTTCAATCCCCGACCGTCCAAGTGGTTGGGCATCATTCCTTCCCTCCCTCCGTCCCATCTCGGATCCTTATCATCATCCCTTCCCAGTGCTATGTAGTCGTAATGGCTTGGCGCTATCTCCTGATAAACCCCCCCCCCCATTGTGTCGACAGCGTACGTGTTCCCAAACATTAAGATTGAAATCAGAGACACCATAAGACTGTAGCGACGTGTTCCTTCACTGTTAACTTCATCCACTTGTTTTATCTCTGTATTCTCGTCTCTCTCTCTCTCTCTCTCTCTCTCTCTCTCTCTCTCTCTCTCTCTCTCTCTCTCTCTCTCTCTCTCTCTCTCTCTCTCTCTCTCTCTCTCTCTCTCTCTCTCTCTCAAATCTTCTGACTCGTCTTGAGTTGTAACTTCCACCTTTGCCCTCTTGGTCAATTTCCTCTCTGGACACAGTTGTTGTTCTTCCTCTATTCCCCTTTAAATTTTGTATATAGTGATTATTTCTCCCCCCCTAGTTCTTCTAAAGGTGCAGTGATATGTTATTTTCTAATCTCTTATCCATCTATCGTAGCTCAGTTCTCTGTTGAAGCCAAACTTGTAGCAACATTTGCAACTACTCTTTGTCATATTTTTGTTTAGAAGAGGTGAGGTCCATGCGGGAGTTGCATACTCTAGGAGTGGTCTCATGTTTGCTGCAGTGTTTAGTATTCAGAATAAATCCTAAGGCTGCTACAAGTGTGTAACCCTAATTTCTCCTGCATAGAAGGAAATGTATATGTTTATCTCTCAGAATGTTTGGTAATATGTTTATTGTTTGTGATGAGTGTATATGTATGTATTAACACGATGTACTGAACGGGGTGAGAATAGCTTGAGCTACCTCATCCCTTTGTGTGTATTTTACCTCAATAAACTGATTTCAATTTCAATTTCCTGCATAGGTCCAACGAGGCTGCCTCTGGTCGGCTACCTGCCGTTCATGGGGAAGGAGCCGCCCCACAAGCAGTGGTGGAAGCTCTCCTCGACCTACGGCCCGGTCGTCGGTCTGTACATGGGCAACACCCCCCTGGTGGTGGTCAATGGCTGGCGCGCCGTCAAGGAGTCCCTCCTCAATGAGGACCTCAATGGGCGACCTGATAATATATTCGCTGAGATACTGTACGATGGCAAGCAGAGAGGTGAGCACGGCTGAACACGCACCTTGCCTAAACCAGATAATCTTGACCACACCACACACTAGAAGGTGAAGGGACGACGACGTTTCGGTCCGTCCTGGACCATTCTCAAGTCGATTGTCACCTTCACCTTCTAGTGTGTGGTCTGGTCAACTTACTTTAGTCACGTTATTGTGACTCATCGCCTGCAAGATAATCTTGTAGAATTCTGAGTTGCTTGGTAAGGGTACAGGGCCGGTATCTATCACGCATTTACCCAACCAATTACGAAACTTTTACATCTCTTCTCAATCAATAAAGTAGTTTCTCAAGTGAAGAATATAAGAAATATAGAGAAGATTCGTACTAAAATCATTGATATAACCCTTTTTTCTTATTCAATAACATATAGATATATTTATATTTAGATATAGGTATAAATAGAATGCCTGTTCGAACAAGGAGGCAGATGCTTGGGGCTAACCACAACCATCTTTCCCAAGATGACCCATTGGGGGCGTGTGAGTGTCATGCCACACGCGAGGTCGGCCTCCGTACCACATTTTAAGAAATATTGGCATCCATAGTGACCCCCTGCGATTTCCATAAAATCTGAATTCGAGGGATTGGAGTGTTTTCTCTAGTTTCCAGAAGATTTTTCAAGGCTTCGTAATAGTCAATTTTCTGAGAGGGTAGAGGGGAGATTTTGGGGGGGAGAGGGAGAGGGAGAGGGAGTGAGAGAGGGGGAGGGAGAGGGAAAGGGAGAGGGGGAGGGAGAGAGAGGGAGAGAGGGGAGAGAGAGAGGGAGAGAGAGGAAGAGGGGGAGAGAGGGAGAGAGAGGGAGAAGGGGGGAGAGAGAGGGAGGGGGGGGAGAGAGAGGGAGAGGGGGGGAGAGAGAGAGAGAGAGAGAGGGAGAGAGAGAGAGAGGAGAGAGAGAGAGAGAGAAGAGAGAGAGAGAGAGAGAGAGGAGGGAGAGAGAGAGAGAGAGAGGAGAGGGAGAGAGAGGAGAGAGAGAGAGAGGAGAGAGAGAGAGAGAGAGAGAGAGAGAGGAGAGAGAGAGAGAGAGAGAGAGAGAGAGAGGGAGAGAGAGAGGAGAGAGAGAGAGAGAGAGAGAGAGAGGAGAGAGAGAGAGAGAGAGAGAGAGAGAGAGAGAAAGGGAGAGAGAGAGAGAGAGAGAGAGAGAGAGAGAGAGAGAGAGAGAGAGAGAGAGAGAGAGAGAGAGAGAGAGAGAGAGAGAGAGAGAGAGAGAGAGAGAGAGAGAGAGAGAGAGAGAGAGAGAGAGAGAGAGCGAGAGAGAGAGAGAGAGAGAGAGAGAGAGAGAGAGAGAGAGAGAGAGAGAGAGAGAAAGAGAGAGGAAAAAGGGGGGGAGAGACACGGGTCCAGCAGGGTACCCTCACCCAGTATACCCGGGAATTCCGGGTTCGAATCCCTCCTAGTCGGACAGAAATAGTTGGGCGCGTTTCCTATCACCTAATGCCGCTGTTCACCTAACAGTAAAGTGTAACCCAGGAGTTAGTCAACTTGTTGTATGGAGTTGTATCCTGGGGAGGGTCAGTGGTTCCCCCCCTGGGGTGGGGGTGGGGGGAAATAGATATAAGCCTAACATGTATATATGTACACTGGCTGCCTGAACCCCTCCCCCCCCCACACAATGAATTATTATTATTAATATTATTATCCCTCAGGAGTAATGTTCGTGGAGAATGACTTCTGGAAGGAACAGCGGCGGTTCACCCTCCACCAGTTCCGTAATCTTGGGTTTGGTAAGAGGTCCCACGAGGAAGTTATCCAGGATGAAGCCAGAGAACTCCTCGAGGAGATAGAGGAGACCAAAGGCAGCATCAGACTCCAGGTAACTGAATATCACTAGTTACTACCTTAACATTATATAGAATTCAAGTCTACTGCCATCTTGGGGTTTCCCAGTATTGTGAATTTGTGAATTATATTAATATCAACCCTATTAATCCCGGCATGTTGGAACGCGTGGCAGGGTCTGGCGGGCGTGTCAGCCATCAACATCCTGTGGGCGCTGGTGGGCGGGACCAGGTTCAGCAGGAAGGACCCGTCCCTCTTGTACCTCGTCGACATTCTCAACGTCTTGTTCCGTGCTGGAGAAGTAAGCTATACGTAGTGTTCTTCTCGGGTTTGGTTATGGGCTTGAGGCCCACCAACCTCTGGAGGATTATTACGGTATATATCGGTCTTTTGTAGGATTATTTCAGCGTATCAAAAAGACTTACTGAGCCGGTATATTTCAGCTCTGAACTTTGTCCAAGTTGAAGACAACTCTCAGTGTATCTAAACCAATAAGTTAAGTACATCCTCTGTCTGGCTCTATCAACAGCATGTTATGTAAACAGCAGCTTGTGTTATTATATTGAGATCTGCTTATAGCTTTCGTTAACTGTATCGGTATAGGCGTTGTGTGCCTGGATGCGTGACTGTGTGCCCGTACTGTGAACCTCACGGTTCACAGTACGGGGCTATTGCTTCACCACTCCACTTTCACTTAGGCTGCTTTAATAATAGGGCATCCACATGCAGTAATAATAATGATGATTTAATAATAATTTTTATATTATTATTATTATTATTATTATTATTATTATTATTATTATTATTATTATTATTATTTATTATTATTGTTGTTGTTATCTACAGTACAATCTTTACGAAGCTTCAACTTTAAATGAAATGTGAGATAATGTATCTAATTTTGTGTATAATGCTGTCATTGGAAGTTTCATAAAGGTTTAATGTGGACACCAAAAAAGCACACAGCCGTCCTTATAAAAAAAAGGCCAAAGGCTTGCTTATTCAGCCGCAAAACCTCCAGTTTATGAGTGTAAAATACTCTACACACGACTCACAACTAATGACGTTCGAACATTTCTTGAACTTGAACTTCGCTGACGACCTCTGTTCGAATCACTCATAAATAAATGCTTCGCCCGTGTAATGTAATTAAAAATAATTATCAACAGAACCTAATCTATGCCAAAATATATATAAAATTTTAATAAATATATATTCACATATGAGAACAAATTCTTTTCAAGACAGTACAATCAAATTGATGCATTTTGCGGTGGGCCGGGTTGGTAAATGCCACAACCCTGTATTGGAAATGAGTTATGGAGGCCGCAGCTTGGACGAGCATAGCCTGAAGGTAACTTCATTACACAACATAATCCCACACCTGTCAATGGCCAGAAATATATGCACCAAGAGGTATATCCCGCGTCTTGTTGAATATACAGTGCGAATTCCTGGTCTATGTTGAGGACTAAATTATAGTAACCGGCTGGTCAATAGGCTATTGTCACGGCCGTAATAACTCTCCAGAGATTGATGGCCAAATCAAGTCAAAACATTTATTGTCACAGTCAGTCAATAATCATTATTGTCACGACTTGACAGGAGAACGTCAGTCTGTCCCGCGCGCGCGCGCGTGTGTGTGAAAAAATTAGTTAGTAGTTAGTAACAACTGATTGACTGACAGTTGACAGGCAGGCCGAAAGAGCAGAGCTCCATCCCCGCAAGCACAACTAGGTGAATACACCCAATGTGTACTCGCCTATTTGTACTCACCTATTTGTGCTTGCGGGGGTTGAGCATTGGCTCTTTGGTCCCGCCTCTCAACCGTCAATCAACTGGTGTACAGATTCCTGAGCCTACTGGGCTCTATCATATCTACATTTGAAACTGTGTATGGAGTCAGCCTCCACCATATCACTGCCAAATACATTCCACCTGTTAACTACTCTGACACTGAAAAAGTTCTTTCTAACGTTCCTGTGGCTCATGTGGGTACTCAGTTTCCACCTGTGTCCCCTTGTTCGCGTACCACCAGTGTTGAATAGTTTATCCTTGTCGACCCTGTCAATTTCCCCGAGGATTTTGTTGTAGTGATCATGTCTCCCCTCACTCTTCTGTCTTCCAGTGTCGTAAGGTGCATTTCCCGCAGCCTTTCCTCGTAACTCATGCCTCTTAGTTCTGGGACTGGTCTAGTGGCATACCTCTGAACTTTTTCCAGCTTCGTCTTGTGCTTGACAAGGTACGGGCTCCATGCTGGGGCCGCATACTCCAGGATTGGTCTTACATATGTGGTGTACAAGGTTCTGAATGATTCCTTACACAGGTTCCTGAACGTTGTTCTGATGTTAGCCAGCCTCGCATAGGCCGCTGATTTTATTCTTTTGATGTGGGCTTCAGGAGACAGGTTTGGTGTGATATCAACTCCTAGATCTTTCTCTCTGTCCGTTTCATGAAGTACTTCATCTCCTATTCTGTATCCTGTGTCTGGCCTCCTGTTTCCACCGCCTAGTTTCATTACTTTGCATTTACTCGGGTTGAACTTTAGCAGCCATTTGTTGGACCATTCATTCAGTTTGTCTAGGTCATCTTGTAGCCTCCTACTATCATCCTCTGTTTCAATCCTCCTCATAATTTTAGCATCATCAGCAAACATTGAGAGAAACGAGTCTATACCCTCTGGGAGATCATTTAGATATATCAGAAACAGTATAGGTCCAAGGACAGACCTATGCGGGACTCCACTTGTAACGTCTCGCCAATCCGAGACCTCACCCCTCACACTGACTCGTTGTCTTCTGTTGCTTAGGTACTCCTCTATCCACCGGAGTACCTTCCCTTTCACTCCAGGCTGAATCTCCAGCTTTTTCACTAGTCTCTTGTGTGGTACTGTATCAAAGGCTTTCTGGGAATCCAAAAATATGCAGTCTGCCCACCCCTCTCTTTCTTGCCTTATTTTTGTTGCCTGGTCGTAGAATTCAATTAACCCTGTGAGGAAGGACTTGCCATCCCTGAACCCATGTTGATGCTGTGTTACAAAGTTCCTTCGCTCCAGATGCTCCACTAGCTTTCTTCACACAATCTTCTCCATCAGCTTGCATGGTATGCAGGTTAGGGACACTGGCTTGTAGTTCAGTGCCTTCTGTCTATCCCCTTTCTTGTATATCGGGACAACGTTATCTGCTTTCCAAATTTCTGGCAGTTCCCCTGTTGCCAGTGATTTGTTATACACTATGGAGAGTGGCAGGCACAGTGCTTTTGCTCCTTCTTTTAGTATCCAAGGGAAGATTCCATCTGGGCCTATAGCCTTCGTCACGTCCAACTCTAGTAAACACTTCCTTACTTCCCCGCTGGTAATCTCAAACTCTTCCAGTGGTTCCTGGTTAGCTATTCCCTCTCTTATCTCTGGGATTTCTCCTTGCTCTAAGGTGAAGACCTTTTGGAATTTCTTATTCAGTTCCTCACACACTTCCTTGTCGTTTGTAGTGAATGCTTCTGCCCCTATCCTTAATTTCATAACCTGTTCCTTTACTGTTCTTTTTCTCCTGATATGGCTGTGCAGCAATTTAGGCTGAGTCTTTGTCTTGCTTGCGATGTCATTTTCGTATTGTCTTTCTGCCTCTCTTCTCATCCTGACATATTCATTCCTGGCATTCTGGTATCTTTCTCTGCTCTCCAGTGTCCTGTTATTCCTATAGTTTCTCCATACTCTTTTACTTTGCTGCTTAGCTAGCCTACATCTCTGATTAAACCATGGGTTTCTCATCTTCATTTCACTGTTTTCCCTGTGGACTGGGACAAACTTGTTTGCTGCGTTCTTACACTTCAGCGTGACGTAGTCCATCATGTCTTGGGCCGTTTTTTCCCTGAGTTCTGTTTCCCATGTTATATCTGTTTGGAATTTTCTTATCTCCTCATAGTTTCCCTTTCGGAATGCCAGTTTTTTGTTTTCAGTAAACTTACTGAAAACCCCTCTTCTGTGTGTGTGTGTGTGTGTGTGTGTGTGTGTGTGTGTGTGTGTGTGTGTGTGTGTGTGTGTGTGTGTGTGAGTGTGTGTGTGTATGTGTGTTGTTCAGCCACGTTATTGTGGCGTATTGTCATTCTTCGTTTGGCTCCAAGACCTAAACTTCACTGTTCAATTCCCTGCAACAGATCACAGGAGGCATTGTGAAAGTGTTCAAGGGTGTGCGCCACGTCCTGCCCAGGAGCGCAGGCTTCAACACCGTCATCAACAACATGAAGCCCATCCTGGAATTTATAACGGTTTGTTTATTTACTGTGTTTATGAAATGTTCCTCTTTTTAAATAGTTACCTGGGAGTTGGTCAACTGTTGTGGGTGGCATCCTGGGGAAGGTCAACAGTTGACCTTGGGGGAGAGGGACCCCGTACAAGTCAAGCAAGCTCGCTTGGATGTGTTGTATAACAAAAAAATAATATACTAATAATAGTAGTTTCAAAGCAAATAATCTGAACGAAAACGGAAATATAATAGAGATTTTTTAAAGCACTTATCTTCCCCTCTTGAATCCCTTACAAGATTCAAACAGGCTGTGCGGTTTTCTCCTCTGTGTGACCGCTCGGGCTGTGTTTGGGGCGGCGTCGCGCACCTTGATACAATCTTTATGCCGGGAGCCGGTCGGCCGAGCGGACAGAACGCTGGACTTGTGGTCCCGGGTTCCATCCCAGGCGCCGGCGAGAAACAATGGGCAGAGTTTCTTTCACCCTATGCCCCTGTTACCTAGCAGTAAAACAGGTACCTGGGTGTTAGTCAGCTGTCACGGGCTGTTTCCTGGGGGTGGTGGCCTGGTCGCGGACCGGGCCGCAACCAGGCCACCACAACGCTGTAAATGCTTCACCCACGTACTACAAATACTAATAATCGCCAACAGAACCAAAACACCTAACCTATGCCTATATGTGCACAATATGCTGAGATATTATAATATTAACTTAAATTTGAGAAAATTTCCGTTTTGAATGAACAACATGTTAAAATTGATGAATGCGTCTGTGGGGTCGACCGCTGGATGTAATGGACTTGAGTCGAGGACGGGTTGTTAATCCCGCCTCTCAACATGTCGATCAACTGGTGTATAGGTGTGTAACTGGTGTATAGGTTTCTGAACCTTTGTAGGCTTTATCATATCTACATTTCAAACTTGAGTTTGTGTTCTGCCTCGACCACCTCCTTCTCCAACTCACACTGGAGGAGACATAAGTAGGTATTAGGCAGGTATCTGTCGTCTCACACTAGTTGCCTGCAACTGGTCTAGGCACATGTAATCTCAACCGGGAGACAAGTACGACTGTCAGAGTTTAGGAATTTAATAAATCCAGGTTCTCTCTTTGCTGGCTACTGGGCTGTGACGTCTTGATGATGCCATTGACTTCATGTGTATATATATATATATATATATATATATATATATATATATATATATATATATATATATATATATATATATATATATATATATATATATATATGTCGTACCTAGTAGCCAGAACGCACTTCTCAGCCTACTATGCATGGCCCGATTTGCCTAATAAGCCAAGTTTTCATGAATTAATATATTTTCTCTAATTTTTTTCTTATGAAATGGTAAAGCTACCCATATTATTATGTATGAGGTCAATTTTTATTATTGGAGTTAAAATTAACGTAGATATATGACCGAACCTAACCAACCCTACCTAACCTAATCTAACCTATCTTTATAGGTTAGGTTAGGTTAGGTGGCCGAAAAAGTTAGGTTAGGTTAGGTTAGGTAGGTTAGGTAGTCGAAAAACAACTAATTCATGAAAACTTGGCTTATTAAGCAAATTGGGCCTTGCATAATAGGCTGAGAAGTGCGTTCTGGCTACTAGGTACGACATATATATATATATATATATATATATATATATATATATATATATATATATATATATATATATATATATATATATATATATATATATATATATATATGTCGTACCTAATAGCCAGAACTCACTTCTCAGCCTACAATTCAAGGCCCGATTTGCCTAATAAGCCAAGTTTCATGAATTAATGTTTTTTCGTCTACCTAACCTACCTAACCTAATCTAACCTAGCTTTTTTTGGCTACCTAACCTAACCTTACCTATAAATATAGGTTAGGTTAGGTTAGGTAGGGTTGGTTAGGTTCGGTCATATATCTACGTTAATTTTAACTCCAATAAAAAAAATTGACCTCATACATAGAGAAAAGGGTTGCCTTATCATTTCATAAGAAAAAAATTATAGTAAATATATTAATTCAGGAAAACTTGGCTTATTAGGCAAATCGGGCCTTGAATAGTAGGCTGAAAAGTGAGTTCTGGCTACTAGGTACGACATATATATATATATATATATATATATATATATATATATATATATATATATATATATATATATATATATATATATATATATATATATGTCGTACCTAGTAGCCAGAACTCACTTCTATGCCTACTATTCAAGGCCCGATTTGCCTAATAAGCCAAGTTTTCATGAATTAATTGTTTTTCGTCTACCTAACCTACCTAACCTAACCTAACCTAACATTTTCGGCTACCTAACCTAACCTAACCTATAAAGATAGGTTAGGTTAGGTTAGGTAGGGTTGGTTAGGTTCGGTCATATATCTACGTTAATTTTAACTCCAATAAAAAAAAATTGACCTCATTCGTAATGTAATGGGTAGCTTTATCATTTCATAAGAAAAAAGTTAGAGAAAATATATTAATTCAGGAAAACTTGGCTTATTAGGCAAATCGGGCCTTGGACAGTAGGCCGAGAAGTGCGTTCTGGCTATTAGGTACGACATATATATATATATATATATATATATATATATATATATATATATATATATATATATATATATATATATATATATATATATATATATATATATATATATTGATTTATTAAAAATATATAAACAATCGAAAAATATACAAATAAAATCCTAATAGTTTGAATAAAACTTTCGTGTGTGGGTGTGTCAACAGAAGGCGCTGCAGGAACACGAGGCTACCATCGACCCCGCCAATCCGCGGGACTTTATGGACCTCTACATCAACGAAATCAACAAGAATAAACACAACCCAGACACCACATTCACAAGTTAGTTTGGTGTGGGTTTTATCCTCTCAAAAATTGCCACACAACACCTTGTGCTCCGTTTATTCGTATATTGTATTTTCCGGCAGGTTTCCAACTGTACGCTTTGTGTACGGACCTGTTCAGTGCCGGGGTGGAGACTGGGTCGTCGTCCGTGGCCTTCTCGGTCCTTCTGTCCGTGCTCAATCCCCGTGTGATGTACAAAGTACATAAGGAGCTGGACAGTGTCATAGGACGCAGCCGTCTTCCCTGTATAAGCGACCGAACCAAGTGAGTCCCGTCTACCTCTGGAGGACAGACTGATTAGTCGTGAACCCGGTTTCAGAACCTTCCATGGAGGACAAACTCCCTCTCATGTTGTTGTTGTTTTGTTGATTTAGGGGGAGACAACGATCTAGGGATCGGATGCATCCCGATATGTACTCCTAAAGGGTAAATTGCAAAGCCTAATGGATAAATGTACGGTGCCTGTTGGCATAAGCAAATGCGTCTCGCGGCGTATAAACATGATGGGCAGATAGATGTGTAGAGTGACCCAGGTGTCCCTCAGGGTGACAAGCACCGGCCCCGCCCCACACACAGAACACTGCGTAGCGAAACCAAAAATTCGACTCCCAACTAAAACACAAAAGTCATCCAGTGCCCCCCGGCAGAGCAGAAGCCAGCCGCCCACCACGGCTGAGGGCACACCAGCCGCCCACCACGGCTGAGGGCACACCAGCCGCCCACCACGGCTGAGGGCACACCAGCCGCCCACCACGGCTGAGGGCACACCAGCCGCCCACCACGGCTGAGGGCACACCAGCCGCCCACCACGGCTGAAGGGACACCAGCCGCCCACCACGGCTGAAGGGACACCAGTCGCCCACCACGGCTGAGGGCACACCAGCCGGCCACCACGGCTGAGGGCACACCAGCCGCCCACCACGGCTGAGGGCACACCAGCCGCCCACCACGGCTGAGGGCACACCAGCCGCCCACCACGGCCGAAGGGACACCAGCCGCCCACCACGGCTGAGGGCACACCAGTCGCCCACCACGGCTGAGGGCACACCAGCCGGCCACCACGGCTGAGGGCACACCAGCCGGCCACCACGGCTGAGGGCACACCAGCCGGCCACCACGGCTGAGGGCACACCAGCCGGCCACCACGGCTGAGGGCACACCAGCCGGCCACCAAGGCTGAGGGCACACCAGCCGCCCACCACGGCTGAAGGGACACCAGCCGTCCACCACGGCTGAGGGCACACCAGTCGCCCACCACGGCTGAGGGCACACCAGTCGCCCACCACGGCTGAGGGCACACCAGCCGCCCACCACGGCTGAGGGCACACCAGCCGCCCACCACGGCTGAGGGCACACCAGCCGCCCACCACGGCTGAGGGCACACCAGCCGTCCACCACGGCTGAGGGCACACCAGCCGTCCACCACGGCTGAGGGCACACCAGCCGTCCACCACGGCTGAGGGCACACCAGCCGTCCACCACGGCTGAAGGGACACCAGCCGTCCACCACGGCTGAAGGGACACCAGCCGGCCACCACGGCTGAGGGCACACCAGCCGGCCACCACGGCTGAGGGCACACCAGTCGCCCACCACGGCTGAGGGCACACCAGCCGGCCACCACGGCTGAGGGCACACCAGCCGCCCACCACGGCTGAGGGCACACCAGCCGCCCACCACGGCTGAGGGCACACCAGCCGCCCACCACGGCTGAGGGCACACCAGCCGCCCACCACGGCTGAGGGCACACCAGCCACCCACCACGGCTGAGGGCACACCAGGAGCCCACCACGGCTGAGGGCACACCAGCCGCCCACCACGGCTGAGGGCACACCAGTTGCCCACCACGGCTGAGGGCACACCAGCCGCCCACCAACTCCCGGCACCTCTCGGCCAAGCCGGCGCCGGACACCGTCACCCCGCCGGGAGAACCAGCCAGAAAACGTTCAATATCTATCAGCTATCCTGTGACCCAAGGTGATATGTACGCCAAGCGTCGTGACACTCCGGACTAGAAACGCCAAACGACAGTATCAAAACCCAAAGGGTAGTATCGCGGTCCATACGAGGAGCTGCCTCGTATGGACCAATAGGAACTACTTCGCATGGGCCAACAGGCCTTCTGCAGTTTCCTTAATTCTTATGTACTTAATATGCAAATTGGATAAGCAGCGGCGTAATATGTACTTGTGAAAGCACATATCTTACCCTACAGGTTGGTGTACACTGAGGCGACGCTGACGGAGGCTTTCCGCTTCAGGGGCGCCGCACCACTGACCGTTCCTCACAAGGCCCTCAGGGACACTATGCTGCAGGTGAGCCCCTTGCTTCACCCACTCCTCTATGGTGGTGTCTTCTACACCCAGTGACCTCACCAGTGTTACACAGAAGTAGACTTCAGCTATTACAACTCTTCTGTGTAACCCTGGTATAAGAACTCTTCTGTGTAACCCTGGTATAAGAACTCTTCTGTGTAACCCTGGTATAAAAACTTCTGTGTAACCCTGGTATAAAAACTCTTCTGTGTAACCCTGGTATAAAATATCTTCTGTGTAACCCTGGTATAAGAACTCTTCTGTGTAACCCTGGTGTAAAAACTCTTCTGTGTAATCCTGGTATAAAAACTCTTCTGTGTAACCCTGGTATAAAAACTCTTCTGTGTAACCCTGGTATAAAAACTCTTCTGTGTAACCCTGGTGTAAAAACTCTTCTGTGAACCCTGGTATAAAATTACTATATAACCCTGGTATAACATCTGACGTCATTGTGACGTATAACACCGGTATAAGGACATGTCTGACGTGACTGTGACCTGCCACAGGGTCACCGTATCCCAGCGGGAGCTACAGTGATGAACAACCTCTACAGCATCCACATGGACAAGGACTACTGGGGTGACCCGGAGATCTTTCGCCCGGAGAGATTCATCAACCCCGACGGGTCATATCGCTCAGATGAGCGCATGATTCCCTTCGGCAAAGGTAACAGGTCTTGTGACTGTTGGTGAAGGTGTTGGACTTGAGTGTGACTGTTGGTGAAGGTGTTGAACTTGATTGTGAATGTTGGTGAAGGTGTTGGACTTGAGTGTGACTGTTAGCGAAGGTGTTGAACTTGATTGTGAATGTTGGTGAAGGTGTTGGACTTGTGACTAAAGAAGGACTGGGGTACTGGAGCTGGTTAGGATAGTCGCCGCCAAGTTTCCCCACAACACACCTCGTCAGTCAGCCTCCACGTAGCCAATAACTGGAGCGTCCCCCGGGGGTGATCACCGTGAAGGCTTGCTGCTCATTCTAGGATTCGAACCCAGGTCCTCTTGCTAGTTACAAGCCTCCCCACTAGATGCCCAACAGCCTTGGCAAACATTAAAAATGTTTGTCATATTACATGTTCTCCAACTCGGAAGAAGTGACAGACAAATATATAATTTTGGCATTAAATAATAAGAATCTTTAAATTGCCTTAATGAGCAAATCCACAAGGGCCGTGACGAGGATTCGAACCTGCGTCCGAGAGCATCCCAGACGCTGCCTTAATCGACTGAGCTACGACATGGTATAAGAATTGCAACCAGAAATTCTACTGAATTTACTTGGATCCTGCAGCCTCTCCGAGAGACAATCCAGGATTTTACACAACTCCCCCATGCACTCGAGCTATGTCAATAGGCCGTTCTACCCCTTCGCCCTTACTTCATTACACATAGAAATCACAATTCCGTGATGCATCACGCTATTGTGAGTTCTGTGTGCATTAATGAGACTTACATTGACTTTAAATATACAAATAAGCAACGTATCCTTCACCGTAGCAATGTCCCTCACCGTGAAGTTATAACCCCCTACATCCAGAAGTTTTAAGTTACACGGAAATCACACGAAAGTTAAAATATAAAGTTCCATGTATATCAAGGAGAGCAGGCGGGGCTCTAGAGCTAGAACACACTCGATCGTAGTCACAGTGAAGGACTTAAAGCACTATGTACTTTCTGTGATCCAAGTAAAGCACTTTACACTTGTCGTGTTCCACAGGTCGTCGAGCGTGTCTGGGAGAGTCTCTTGCTAGGATGACAACATACCTGCTCTTCACGGCTCTCATGCAACGCTTTCTCTTCACCCTGGATCCGGCTCTTCCTGTGCTGGATACTGAGGGTAAGTATGGATTCACACTCGGCCCACCAGACTTCAAAGTCTTCGCCAAAGCCAGATTCTAAAGCCAGCAATGAAGCCTCCAGAGCTCAGAGTCTTCGTCAAAGCCAGCAATGAAGCCTCCAGAGCTCAGAGTCTTCGTCAAAGCCAGCAATGAAGCCTCCAGAGATCAGAGTCTTCGTCAAAGCCAGCAATGAAGCCTCCAGAGCTCAGAGTCTTCGTCAAAGCCAGTACCCGAGCATCAAGAAATCGGAGTCTTCGCCAAATTATGCCAGCACTCAAACTTCCAGAAATCGGAGTATTCACCGAAGCCAGGAACAAAAGCCTCCAGAGATCAGGTTCTTCGCCAAAGCCAGGTTCAGAAGCTAGCACTCAAGCCACCGGAATTCAGAATTATATACTGTATGTGGGCAAGAGACGCAAGTTTACGTTTGTAATCCTTTTCTGAAATATTAAAGCATTGAATAAATATTTCTAAATATAAATCCGAAGTGTTATACAATGTGGGAAGATGTCTGGCTATCTAGATTCTTTAAATAGCTAGACATCTAGCAAATATTCTTTACCAGGATGCCTAGTAAAGAATATATATGATCTCTTACTAAGATACCTAGCTAGGAATGAACCAGGGGCCAGGATTCATCAAGCATATACGCAGCCACTTACGAATCCTGTACATCTTTCTTCAATCGTGGCGGCTTGGTTTCAAACATGAATTAAACAGTTTGAGTTCCGAGGTACTACGGCGTAGTTTATAAAAATAATAATCTTGGGCTGTGTAATTTTCAAGTTTGTAAATTTGTTAATAAATGTAAACAAAGCCGCCATGATTGCTGACAAATGTACAGGATTCGTAAGTGGTTGGGCATATGCTTGATGCATTCCGGCCCGGGGCCAGATTCACGAAAGCACTTACGCAAGCACTTACGAACGTGTCCATCTTTCCTCAATCTTTGACGGCTTTGGTTACATTTATTAAACAGTTTACAAGCATGAAAACTTCCCATTCAACTGTTGTTATTGTTATAAACAGCCTCCTGGTACTTCGGAGCTCATTAACTGTTTAATAATTGTAAACAAAGTCGCCAAAGATTGAGAAAAGATGTACAGGTTAGTAAGTGCTTGCGTAAGTGCTTTCGTGAATCTGGCCCCTGGTCTCTAACTTAACCGGAAGGACCACTGTAGGAAATGGTGATAATCCACCATCATCCATATCACATGAACTGCAAATTCACAATAACCACTCGAACTGGTCGGTAGAGCGAAGGCTTATTTTTTGCAGGTCGGCGTTCGATCCCACGATGGTTCAATACGTTGTGCACCGTTCCTTCCCCTCTCGTTTCCATCCCAAGGGCTATATAGTCACACCTGCTCGGAGCTCCTCCTTCCTCCACAACACTGTTGGTAATAACATTTAATTTACTAAATGCAACATCGAGGCTTCTAATAGTCTTGACAAATTGCGAGTTTTGTATAATAGTTTGTGGCTGTTTCTCTGAACAGTTTGGAAACCTGTAGACATGCTTATTGTCACATAATATTGTTTGAGTATGTTTGGTAGTGGTGGCACAGTGGTGGCTTGCCCTTAGAGGTCTCCGGGAGTCTGGTTTCCTTATCATCTTTCTGCTTTGAAAAAGTTCTTTGTCAAGTCAGATGTTTTTCTTCCCATGTTGTGCGTGTGTGTGTATACTCACCTAGTTGTGCTTGCGGTGGTTGAGTTTCGGCTCATTGGTCCCGCCTCTCAACTGTCAGTCAACTCATGAACAGATTAATGAGCCTTCAACCAAATCTACATTTGAAACTGTATGGAGTCAGCCTCCACCACATCATTTCCTAATGCATTCCATTTGTTAACTACTCTGACATTGAATTTTTTTCTAATTTCTCTGTGGCTCATTTGGGGACTACGTTTCCACCTGTGTCCCCTTGTTCGTGTTCCAGCTGTGCTAAAGAGTTTGCTTTTGCCCACCCTGTCAATTCCCCTGAGAATTTTGTAGGTGGTTATCATGTCTCCCCTTACTCTTCTGTCTTCCAGGGATGTGAGGTTTAGCCCCCTTAGCCTTTCCTCGTACCTCATACCTCTCAGTACTGGGACGAGCCTGGTGGCATACCGCTGAATCTTCTCAAACTTTGTCTTGTGTTTAATTAGGTATTGACTCCAGGCTGGAGCTGCATACTCCAGGATTGGTCTTACATAAGTGGTATACAGGGTTCTGAAAGATTCCTTACACAAGTTTCTGAAGGCAGTTCTTATGTTGGCCAGTCTAGCATATGCCGCTGATGATATTCTTTTGATGTGGGCCTCTGGGGACAGGTTCGGTGTGATATCAACCCCCAGATCCTTCTCTCTATTTGACTCTTGCAGGATTTCCCCTCCCAGATGATACCTTGTGTTCAGCCTCCTGCTCCCTTCGCCTAATTTCATCACCTTACACTTTCCCGAGTTGAACTTTAGCAGCCATTTTCTAGACCATTCCTCCAGTTTATCCAGGTCATCCTGTAGTCTGTGTGTGTGTGTGTGTGTGTGTGTGTGTGTGTGTGTGTGTGTGTGTGTGTGTGTGTGTGTGTGTGTGTGTGTGTGTGTGTGTGTGTGTGTGTGTGTGTGTGTGTGTTCGCGCGCTCGCTGGTCAGAGTCTGTGTGTGTTGACGTCTTAGTGTATATAATTATCTTCCTACTCCGAAATGAATTATGTCAACAGCAACTCTGGAAAAATAAAGAGCCCTAAAAACGCCAATCTTTTAGTACAGAATAAACGAGCATACAGTGTAAACACACTTGATGTATTCAACACACGGGATGTATACAACACGATATATGCAACAAACATGATGATATATGCAACAAACATGATGATATATGCAACAAACATGATGATATATGCAACAAACATGATGATATATGCAACAAACATGATGATATATGCAACAAACATGATGATATATGCAACAAACATGATGATATATGCAACAAACATGATGATATATGCAACAAACATGATATATGCAACGAACTGGATATATGCAACACAATATGTACAATGCGCTCAATATTTACAGATACTGATATATTTTCCTCAGGTCGTTTGCAGTATGTGAGGTATGAACAGGTGTCTAGCAGGACGCACTATGACAGACTTATTGCATGAGTGTATTTAGTATGAAATAAAGTGTCTTGGCACGGATGACGGGGGGGGGGGGGAAGAAGGTGAAATAATATAGGTACAAGACACCAAAACACAGAGAGAAGAAACAAAGGAAGTTTAGCATCAAACTGTCACGAACATACAGTTTAGATCACATTATTAAGGGGTCTAATACTCTTCAGCTCGATGCTCGTCCCCTGAGCCAAATTATTCATGGTTTCTGATTGATCAGATACACTGTTCATTAGGGAATTATGCTTGAGCCTCCTGTGTCTTCTGTCGAAAAAAAATCCGGAATCTGTTGAAAGTTTTCTGCCCAAAACAGACTCTTTTAAATTGGAAAATTTGACGTGGGTAATTGGAGATTTTTGTGCCTTTTTGCAGGCCATCTGTTTTAAGCACGTTCTCCTTTCTTGTTGTTTTTCATTACTAAGGGGTAATATAGAGGTCAGTGTCACACTGTCTGTCACTTTATCCTGAGTTTCACTGATCCGAGAGTAGAGAAGTTGTTTGTTCTCCGGCGTGGAAGTTGTCTTGGTCGTTGAAGGTGTGACGGAACCTTCAGAGGGCCGTCGCTCTTCGTCTTCTTCAATCTCCACCACCACGCATCCGGAGGCCATGGATGGGGCCGGAGGCGAGGCAGCAGCAGCAGTAGGAGGAGGAGCAGCAGCAGCAGTAGCAGCAGCAGCAGCAGTAGCAGCAGTAGCAGCAGTAGCAGCAGTAGCAGCAGCAGCAGAGGCAGCAGTAGGAGGAGCAGCAGCAGCTGCTTGACCTCTAAGAGAGAAGCCTCTGGGAGTCTCTGAGGTTGCTGGTGTAAGTATGGCTAACTTAGGTGCGTGTGAAGGAAAGCCGTCACCAGCCGCCGCACCTGGTGACGCCGGCCCTCGACGCTCCACAAGCTGTCGAACACAACCAGATATAAACAACAGTCCAGCAGCTGGACAACCTCATAAATATTGTCAAGCAGTATCCTCCCCCTGCGATAGCAGCCTGACGATTTGCAACCCGTTCTCGCAAATTTAATAAGTCAATATTGACTTATTAAATATGTGCATAGGTGACATACTTAACATAATAGATACCCTTAAAAAGATTCATAGAAAACACCGACCTTACCTAACCTTGTTAGTATCTTAAGATAAGCATCTTATTGCTTCGTAATTACAATTATTACCTAACCTATAATAGGTATAGGTTAAGTAATAATTGTAATTACGAAGCAATAAGATGCTTATCTTAAGATACTAACAAGGTTAGGTAAGATCGGTGTTTTCTATGAATCTTTTTAAGGGTATCTATTATGTTTAGTATATCACCTATGCACGTAGGTAATAAGTCAATATTGACTTTACGAATTAGCGAGAACGGGTTGCGATTTAAATGCGACCTCAGCACACAGTATACATGCACTCCAACAAAAAATCTACAACTTACGGGCTATTCATGCCCGTGCTACCTCTTGGATGGCTTAATCTTCATCAATCAATCAATCTAGAAAGTTTTTTTTTTAGTAGGAAACTCATCAAATCCAGGTCCAGGAATTACTAACGAAACCTGCACATCTTTCCTCAATCATGGCGGTGATACTTACATTTAAGTTGACGAAGTTCGAAATACCACAACCAAAGGTTATTATTTGTTAAAAAACTATCTCGTAGTTTAATAGTTTTTAATAAATGTAAACAAAGCCGCCATGATTGTTGACAGATGTAAAGGTTTCGCAAGTGGATGAGTAAATGATTGATGGATCCTGGTCCGGACTCTAGCTGAAGCATTAGAAACCCTACAGTGATTACCTGATATACAACCCGTCCACACACTAGGCTGCTTAAGGGGCCTTAATGCAGTATAATGAAAGTTGTTCAATTTCAATCAATCATTATTTGCAAGTTGTATATGATAAGGGCTTCAACTGGTCCAAGTCTCATCATCGTAGCGTAAATAGGAAGGGAGAAAAAAAGTATTGAACTATGTTTCAAAAATTTTCCAAAATGGTAAACAATTAACATCAAACACTAAGTGACAACTGAAATCCTATCTATGACTCTAAGCACTCACAATATTATATAATAAGGTATTTTAATAATTAGTTTTATGCCAATAAAGTTTTGTAAAAAAAACATTAGATTTTTCTTCTCAAATTTCTTTTCATATTTTGTATCGGGCGATTTGCATGAACCGTATACGCCTTACAGAACGTAAGCCTATCTGTAGGGATACTAATTTTGGAGGAAATTGGTTGATGTCAACCTCAACCACACGTGGCGGAATCTATGACTTTATTGTCATTTATTGTCAAGTAACAAAATTTCTAGTCCTATTTCATTT